CTGAAGTGGAACATGTGAACTTAACCACTTGGCCACGGGGCCAGTCTCCATACTGAGTTGTAAAAGTTTTTAATATATTCTGGATATAAGTTCTTTGTTAGATATATGTGTTGTGAATATTTTATCCTGACCTGTGGCTTGTTTATTCCTAACAGTGTCTTGAAGAACAAAAAGCTTAATTTTTTTTGACTTCAATTTATCAATATTTTTTCTTTTACAGATAGTGCTTTCAAAGTTCTCTACAAGAAACTTTCACCTACTCCCAAGCTGTGAAAATATTCTCCTGTTTTTTTCTAGAAGTTTAAGTTTTAGCTGCTGTGTTATGGCCATGACCCCACTCTAATTTTTAGGTATGGTGTGAGGTCAGGGTCAAAGGTTCATTTTTTCCCCATATAGATATCAAGTTGTTATAGCATAATCTCTTGAAAAGACTTTCCTTTCCCCATTGGGTTGCTTTGGTGTCTTTGTGAAATATCAAACTACTTCATAATTATTTTACTATTAATAGTTTTCACTCACACATTCTCTTAACACTCTCTCTGGAGGTGGATATATTTTCACTTCACAGGTGAGAAAACCAAGGTTTAGAGTAGTTCAAGAACTTGTCCAAGGGGACACAAAGCCAAGGACTTGAACATAGAACTGCTACTGAATCATGAAGAAATTGTTTACACTTTAAACCTATTTTATCCAGTGGAAGCGTTATTAAATGGATGTCTTTCTGAGGGTGATGGAGTAACAGAACTGAATAAGCTCATATTTTTATATTTCAACACTGGTGGTATTTTTAGACTGCCAGCCAAACACATGCTTCCTTTGTAGGCTCGTGTATATCTAAAACAATCTTTATATTATGTGTCTGTTTGAAAGGGTAAAAAAAGAATAGTACTTGCTTTCCAAAATTGGGTAAGAATAATAGCTTTTAGCCAAAGTTACTTGGACTTTATTTAAGATAAAGAATTACTTCTCTCACCCTGATCTAAAAAAAAAGTCTTACTCTGATTCTTTCAGAGAAATAAAGCAGCACTTACAGATACATATGATGAAGACAGATGCAAAAACTAGAAGAAAACACAATAGCCACTCTAGCTTTTTGTTTTCTCTCCTACTCTGGTACATTTATTTGGGAACCCAGCTTGCCTCCAAATGCTTCATACCACCTTCTTTCCCACTTCATGGAAGCAGTTTTCTGGCAACCTTGATCATTTGGTGAGACTAGGCCTACCTCAATGCTCTAACTGTCCAGATCACCTACGCCTGCCCCTTAGGGTATCAGTTTCCTGTGCTTACCTCATTTGCTGACTGTGACACACAAATAGCCTGTTTTTCTGGCTCACTCAAGAACCACCTTTCCCCACATACAGGGAGCCAACCTTGTTAAAACCGCTGGTCTATAATATACTTTAGGGATGTTACAACTAAAGCATCTATGCCTTGTGAGTTACACAGAATAAGAGGGTCACACAACTATTTGAAGCCAATGAGGGGCCAGAACCCAAGTCTTCTTGACAACTTCACTATTCTTCCCCCATACTACATGTTCTCCCTTCAAATATCTGTTAAACCAAGATGCTATGAAGTGGGACTAGGTTAACTACTTCTCATTCCTAGATGGAAAAATTTAGGCCACAGAGGGGAATGCCTAACAGTCAGTCAAAGGCAGCTTTCCTGAGACCCAGTTTGCTAGGTTAGCCATTATTTTTCCTTTGTCGTGTACCAGAACAGAGAATTAAAAAACTACGCCATAAACTCAAAGACAAAATCCATATATCCCAGTGACTATTTTTTATTATGAGAAATTTATGTGATCTCTGTGCACGTTAAGTATTACCAAATAGCATACTTTGGAACCTCCAAATGGTGACTTGAAGTCAGAAAAGCCTAGTTGGTGAGTGGTACTTGAACAATAGTCTTGGGGTAAGAGACTTACTCATCAAAAAAGGGGCAGGAAAGGTTTGTCAGTGCCCTTCCTGCTTATCTAAGAGGAAGACATTCTGTACTAGTTTTAATATGATAAAGATACCCTACCACTCAAAATAATTGTTCTTGAGAGACAAAGTCGGAAGACTCCCTGATTTCAAAATTTACTCAAATCTCCAGTAATCAAGACAGTCTGGATTGGCATAAGGATAGACATATAGACCAATGGAATAGAATTGAGAGACCAGAAATAAAACCTTACATTTATGGTCAATTGAATTTTGACAAGGGGGCCAAGATAATCCAAGAGTGGAGAAAACAGTCTTTTCATTAAGGTGCTGGAAGAACTGAACAACCACATGCAAGAGAATTTAGAACTCCCCACCTCACATATAGACAAAAATAAACTCGGAAGTGGATCAAATACTTAAATGTAAGAGTAAAAACTATAAAACTCTTAGAAGACAACAAAGATGTAATTCTTCATTACCTTGGATTAGGCAATGGTTTCTTAGATATGAAACCAAAAGTACAAGTGACAAAAGAAAAAATAGATAAATTGGACTTCATACAAATTTCAAACATTTGTGCTTTAAATGACATTATCAAGAAAGTGAAAAGACAGGGGCTGGCCCCGTGGCCGAGTGGTTAAGTTCGCGCGCTCCGCTGCAGGCGGCCCAGTGTTTCGTTGGTTCGAATCCTGGGCGCGGACATAGCACTGCTCACCAAACCACGGTGAGGCAGTGTCCCACATGCCACAACTAGAAGGACCCATAACGAAGAATATACAACTATGTACTGGGGTGCTTTGGGGAGAAAAAGGAAAAAAAATAAAATCTTTAAAAAAAAATTAAAAAAAAAAAAAAAGAAAGTGAAAACACAATCCACAGAATGGAAGAAAATATTTGTAAATCATGTATCTGATAAGAGACTTACATCTAGACTATATAAAGAACTCTTACGACTCAATAATAAAAGGACAACTCACTCAATTGAAACAATGGGCAAGGGATCTGAGTAGATATTTCTCCAAAGAAAAAATATGAATGGCCAATAAAGCACATGAAAAGATGCACAACATCTTTACTCAATTGCATTAGGGAAATGCAAATCAAAACCACAATGAGATATCACTTCATACACACAAAGATGACTATAATCAGAGAGATAATGGCAAGCACTGGCACAGGTGTGAAGACACTGGGACCCTCAAACCTTGCTAGTGAGAATGCAAAATGGTGCAGTCCCTTTGGAAAAAAGTTTGGCAGTTCCTCAAAAAGTTAAACATAGGGTTACCACGTGACCCAGCAATTCCATTCCTATGTATATACCCAAAAGAACTGAAAACATATATCCACACAAAAAACTTATACAGGAATGTTCACAGCAGCATTATTCAGAATAGCCAAAAACTGGAAATAACCCAAATGTCTATCAACTGACAAATGGATAAAGAAAATATGGTATATCTGTACAATGGAATATTATTTGACAATAAAAAGAAATGCAGTACTGATATATGCTAAATGATGGTTGAATTTTGAAAACATGCTAAGTGAAGGAAGCCAGACCCAAAAAGAACACAAATTACATGACTCTATTTTTATGAATGTCTAGAGTAGGCCAATCTATAGAGACAGAAAACAGATTAGTAGTTGCCAGGGGATGGGGAGTGGGGTGAATTGGGAGATAGAGTTTCTTTTTGGAGCAATGAAAATGTTCTTGATTTAGATAACGGTGACGGCTGCACAATTTTGTGAATATACTAAAAACCACTGATATTCTGACAAACCCCTAAAAACCACTGACAAAAACCATTTGGTATTCTCTCTAAAATCATCTCAATGACCTTGTACATTCGGGTTATATCCCATTTTATAGAAAGGAAATTGAAGCTCAAACAGGCTGAGTAATTTACCCAAGGTCATGTGAAGGTAATTAAGTCTGACTCCAGAGGTTCTACTATACTATTTGTCTTCCTTAAAACAGTGACTCACTGGTCTCCAATACTAAGTTATTTTTCAATGTATTATGTTATTCTTCCTTCTATCTCCATCAACAAATTAGATATCATTTCAGAGTCCAGGACTAAATAATGATCTTTCTTTCTTAGTTTGTTGAGCACAGGGAAAAGACAGAAAAAAATTCCTATATGACAATTTTTATTTGTATCAAATTACAGAGAAACATAAGTAAATATAAGATAATTTGAATACTGTAGTATAACAATTTGGCAAATTATGTAATTATCCAAAGTTTATTACATGTTTGAGCACGCACTGAAGAGATTATTTGGCATAACTTGGCAAGATAAGTATTTCTGTACTTTATTTGACTATTTATCAATGTATATATGTGGTACATATGTGTATATATGTGTGTATGTGTATGTGTGTGTGTGTGTACTTCTCTCTGGATTCCCCTACTGTATCGTTGTTATTCTTAGAATATGGCTATTTGCACAAAATTCTATCACACACATACACAGATACTCCCAAATTAAACCTACTTGTATAAAAAGCTAAAGATTGATGTGTCAGGATTAACTCATTTTTAAAAATCTATTATATTAAATTGCATCTGCATTCAAGGCAGAAATGTAGGAAAAAAACTGATTGATTTCCTAAGTACACATGAACTTACAAAGTAATTGAAAATGAAATAAAAATTTCTATTGAAGTGTTATATTTCTGTTTAATTGACTTTTTTTTTTTTTTGAGGAAGATCAGCCCTGAGCTAACATGTGCCACCAATCCTCCTCCTTTTGCTGAGGAAGACTGGCTCTAAGCTAAGATCTGTGTCCATCTTCCTCTACTTTATATGTGGGATGCCTGCCACAACATGGCTTGCCAGCGGTGCCATGTCTGCACTGGGGATCCGAACCAGCGAACCCTGGGCAGCCAAAGTGAAACATGTGAACTTAACCGCTGTGCCACCAGGCCGGCCCCTAATTGACAATTTTAAGTGGCACTATCAAACTGTGGAAATAAACATTATTTTTTTAGGTTATTGAGAGAATAAAGAGTCTACTGAGCATTACTGTGTCCTCTAAATCAAGAATGAGTATTATTATAGCAGGAAAAGATGGCAGATAATTTTCTTTATTAATATGGGAATTCTCAGGAAGCAATCAGGGCAGTGTCTGGCCTCCTGGGCTTGGGTTTCTTGCTTTTCCATCAGTGGAAGTCTGGTTTCTCAGGAAAGGTGCATCCAGTCCGTCTAATTATGACACTTGCTGCATAGTGGCCAGCACGAATGCATTCAGTCAGGGGCTTGTCAGAGACCAGTTGAGACAGAAAACCTGAAACACAGACAAAAGAGAACAACGTGAGTACTGTGTAATAGTGTCAGAAATGTCATATTGAGTCAGACCAAAAAATGGTCCATGCATCTATCCTTTTTTTCAGTCTTGATAGTAAAGTGTTAAACCTCAAGGGCTAGAGAGGTGTTCTGCCAAACATCACGAGCTTCCCCTAATATTTCTTTTAAAGAGCTCAAGTTGGGACATGACAACTCACCATCAAGCCAGTCTAGTCTTTCTAAGTCTAAACTATCATGCTTTCCTTTAGCTTTGAGATTAAAAGATTGTAAGAAATACTGGCCAAATAATATTACCTTGGGTCTTTAAAGCTGAGTAGTTATTAGTATCCCTCTCTCCTTCTCTCTGGATTCCCCTTCTGTATCATTCTTATTCTTAGAATATTGCTATCTGGACAAAATTCTATCATCTGGATGTTTCTCCAAGTATAAATTTGAGAGTTGAAAAGTTATGAAGGATCTTACATCTTCCTTTCACTCCCAGAAGTAACAGTGAAATAATTTATATAGTGAAGTACCATGGACCAGCATGACATTATAATAAATTATGATAAGGTAAAATAGCGTTGAGGACTTCTGCTTCTGACCTAGATGAAACAAATGGAACCAGATTTACCCTTTCTCCAGAAACTACTAAAATAAAGACAAAGCATATAAACAACGTTTTTCAAATATTGTACATCAGCCACAAAGGATCCATGAAGGAAAGGAAACAAGTGAGGTAAACCATAAAATTGCTCTAGTTTAAAATCTAGAGAGTTTCCAGGCTACAACACAAGGAGGGACAACCTATGTAGAATCCAACAGCCTCAGTGAGTTGAGAAGACAGAATTGGGAGTCCAAGAAGGATAAAATTAAACATCTAGGCAGACTGATCAGGAAAAAAAAAAGAGAAGACATAAATTATCAATATCAAAAATAAGAGAGGTGGTATCACTATCGAATTTGCACATACTAAAAGAATAATAAGGAAAAGTTATTAACAATTTTGTGCCAATAGATTTGACAAGTTACATGAATTGGACAAATTCCTGGAAAGACACAAACTATCAAAGCTCACTCAGGAAGAAATAGGTAACCTAAATAACCTTGTATTTATTAAATATATTGATTTTGTAGTTAAAAAGATTCCTATAAAGAAAATCCCGGGTCCAGATGGTGTCACTAATGAATTCAACCAAACATTTAAGGAAGAAGAATAACATCAATGCTATACAAACTTTTCAGAGAACTGAAAAGGAGTGAATACTTCCTAACTCATTCTTTGAGGCCAGCATTACTCTGATACCAAAATCCGAAAAGAAAACTACACATCAATAATCCTCATGAACAGAGATGCAAATATTCTGAAGAAAATTTTAGCAAATCAAATCCAACAGTATATTAAAAAGGTAATAAATCAATTATCCTAGGAATGAAAGGTTGGTTTAACATTCAAAAATCATTCAATGTAATTTACCATGTAAACTAAGAAAACCGTAAGATCATCTTAATAGATGCAGAAAAAGAATTTGACAAAATTCAACATCTCTTCTAATAAAAACTTTCAGCAAAATAGGAATAGAAGGGAACTTCCTCAACCTGATAAAGGGCACTTCTGAAAAATTTACAGTTAATATCATTCTTAATGGTGGATGATGAAATGTTTCTCCCCTTAAGATCAAGAACAAGGCAAGAACATTTGCTCTTAAACACTGGCCTGGAGACTCTAGTCAGTGCAATAAGGCAAACAAACAAACAAAAATAAAAGGCATCAAGATTGAAAAAGAAGTAAAACTATCTTTATTTGTAGATGGCATGATTGTCTATGTCTATGTTTCTCAAAAGTGGGCAATTTTGCTCCGCAGAGGACATCTGGCAAAGTCTGGAGACATTTTTGGTTGTCACAACTGGTGAAGGGGGTGGTACTGGCATCTAGTGGGTAGAGTCCAGGAATGCTGCTAAATATCCTCCAATGTCTATCTATAATGCCGAGACTGAGAAATCCTGGTCTATCTAGAAAATCTTCTGGAATCTATAAGAAAGTTACTAGAACTACTAAGTGAGTTTAGTAAAGTTGCAGGATACAAGACCACACACAAAAATCAATTGAATTTCTATACCAGTAATGTGTGTATATATAGCAATTGTATATAGTAGCAATGAACAATTAGAAATTAATATTAAAAATACTATTTACCATACCATCAAATATGTGAAATATCTAGGGATAAATCTGACAAAAGTTATATAAGACCTGCACACTGAAAATGACAAAACAATGCTGAGAGAAATAAAAGAAATCCAAATAAATGGAGAGATATAAAGTGTTCATAGATCAGAAGATTCAATATTGTTATCAGCTTTGCAGAAATTTTTCTATTGATTCAATATAATATCAATCAAAATTTGAGCAGGCTTTTCTTATAAAAACTGAAAAGTTGATTCTAAAATTCATGTGGAAATACAAAGGACAGATTAGTCACAACACAACTTTGAAAAAGACTACTTGATTTAAAACTTAATATAGAACTAATATAATCAAGATATTATGGTATTGGCATAAAGATAGACATATAGATCAATGCAAATGAATAGAGTCCTGAAATAAACCTACTTCAATATGGTCAATTGATTTTTGACAAAAATATCAAAGCAATTCAGTGGAGAAGGAATAATCTTTTAAACAAATGGTCTTAGAACAGTTGGATGCCACATGTGAAAAAAAAAATCACTTGAACCCTTACCTCACATCATCTACAAAAATCAACTTGAAATGGATCATAGATCTAAATGTAAGAGCTAAAACTATAAAACTCAGAAGAAAACATAGGAGAAAATCTTAGTGATGTTGAATTTGCCAAAGATCTCTTATGATATAAGAAGTACAAACTTTTATAAAAGAAAAAATAATTTGGACTTTGCCAAATTAAACTCTTTTACACTTAAATAACAAGAAACAATCCAATAAAAAGTGGGCAAAAATGTCGAACAAACATTTTAGCAAAGAAGATAAACAGATGCCAAATAAGCAAATGAAAAGATGTTCAACCTTGTTATTCATTAGAGAAATGCAAACCAAAATCAAAATTAGATACCACTGCCCACCCACTACAATGACTAAAATTAAAAAGACAGACCATACCAAGTGTTGACAAGGGTATGTATCAATTGGAACTCTCACATACTGACATGGGAACATAAAATGATAAGACCACTTTGGTAAACCATTTGTTAGTGTCTTAAAAAGTTAAACATACACCTACCCTATGACCCAGTCATTCTATTTAACCCAAGGTACATGAAAGCATATATCCACACAAAGATCTGTAAATGAATGTTCACAGCAGCTTTATTTGTAATAGCTCCAAATTGGAAATAACCCAAATGGGGATGGATGAGAAAGGGCAGGAAGGGAGGATTACAAAAGAGCATGGGAATAGGGGATATGTCTACAGTGATGGTTTCATGGGTGTATACATATGTCAACATTTATAAAATTGTGCACTTTATGTGCAGTTTATTGTATGCCAATTACATAGCAATAAAACTATAAAAGAAGGCAAAAAGTGCTGTAGTTACAAATAAGATATGTCAAGAACTGAAGAATCTGGGGCTATTTTCCCCATGGGGAAACCTGAGCTGCTGTAGCAGTACTCAAATACTCATAAGAACAGACGATAATGAAAAACTGTTCTGTAGGCAGACTTCTAGGCCTTCTCCCAGGCTGTGGGCAGTCTAGGGGGTAAGGTTAATTGAGAAGCTGTGGTATAACAACCTGTAGAGAGCATTATAAGAGACTTATGTCCTTTCTCTTTTACCATTCTGACCACGCAGGCTTTTCCCTGTTAGATTTGGGGAATGCTCTGTATCCGATGAAACAAATAAGTATTCCCAACCAAAGAATAAAATTAATTTCGTTAATGGAGTGAAGTATTTTAAAGACATTTGCTTAGAATGTGAAATCACTCTCTCAAGAGGTTTATAGTAAGAGTATTTTATCACTGAGTTTTCAGGTAACAGTCAAAGGTCAACATTAACTTTCAGCCAAACTGTGCAACTAAAATGCCCAGCCCACACAGTGAATGGAGCAGATGCCAAATTCAGATCCAGATCAGCTTACAATGGAAACATGTCTAGAAGTCTTATAAGCAACATCTGTTTTCATCATTCCTCTTGGTATGATCTTTGTGAGAAAAAGAAAAGCTTAGTTTAGGAAATATTTTTGTGAATCACAAGTACCAGCATCACCAGCATTCTCTTTCTAAGAGAAGAGCTAGCTGATGACTGAAATGCAGTACTCTGAAGAGACATTTGTTTTGACAAGTAGAAAATCTGGATGCACAAAAAAGCTAAGACCTTTGCCCCAAGTGAGTATCAGTCTTTCAATAATCTATTTTTAAAAATCAACTGAGATGAACTACAGATATTATATAATAAATCAGAAGTGGAACTTTAATAAAGTAGCTGATACAAAACTCAAAAATTCTGTAAAATTGTTTAAACAAAGAGAGCTTATATTTAAAGAATCACGGGGAATCCTTTTATAATATGAATAAAAATCCCTGAGATTATTTTTTGTGTGCAAAATATACATAATCTAAAATTTATCATTTTAATCATTTTTAAGTGCATAATTCACAGAATTGAGCACATTTTGCAACGCCATCACCTCTATCGATTTCCACAACTTTTTCATCACTTCAACAGAAACTCTATACTCATTAAACAATAACTCTCCATTTTGCCCTACTCCTGGCCTCTGATAACTGCTATTCTACTTTCTGTCCCTATAAATTTGCTACTTCTAGGTACCTCATATGAGTAGGACCATACAGTATTTGTCCTTTTGTCTCTGGCTTATATCAACTATCATAATGTTCCCAAATATAATTTTTTAAGTTTAGATTTTTAATTATTAAATGGCCTAAAGTGTATTTTTAAAAAAAACTTTAGGGCTGGCCCCGTGGCCGAGTGGTTAAGTTCGCAAGCTCTGCTTCGGCG